GATGTGATTACATATGCTTAAGTTTTCCATTTAAATGAAAATGCCAGCAATATTTTGAAAGAACCTATTCTTAAATATATTGCATTTGCTCAGGGCTGAAGCCCAGTCTCTCAGGATGCATCACTTTGGTTAGATGTGTCTTCTCTGTTCTTGCCAAAATAGGCTGTGCATGTGACATGGCAAATGGAAATCAAAGTTTTGCATTCAGTGTTGGAGCAGGCCTCCACTGAGGGATGCATTCTGGAAGCACTGGTACTAAGTATGCTCCTGAGTAATCTCTACAGAGGCTGACAAAGAAGTTCTGTAGGAATAAGTGGAGCTTAAGACTACCAAGATCAGCAGATTCTGACCCGTCTAATAAGAACTGTGGTATAAGGAAATAGTTAAAACCACATCCCCAAATTTTGAAACTATAGGTTAGAGATATTCGGTGTCAGCCACCTCTCACAAACCTCTAATCCCTCCTATCTCCTAGGTATTTAAGAACTTTACCTGTAGGTTAGTTAAATCACAAGACTCTTAAGAGGATACAACGGGCAGGGCTGGGGGTGAGGAGGAAGAATTATAATATTGTACAGGTAAATTTCTAAATGAATAACACACAGTCATAAATCTAAGATTTGGGGCGAAGGAGATTTAGATAGAGATATTTTCAAGGTTGCTCCTTAAAGGAAGAGTCACCATCTGGTAACTTTTTTTGTGAAGAAAGACAGCAAACAACCGAGCATTGGTCAAGGAACACATGAGAAAACTGTATAACTTTGGAAAGCCTCTGGAAATGGTACAAGAGTAGAGAAAGCCTTGATCTTAGAAAGGAGAGGAAAAACAATCAATGTTGAAAAAACATTGAGAAAGAGAGTCCAGTGAAAGCTGTGAAAACTAAGGTACATTTCCTATACCAAGGTAGTAGAATCCAGTAAAATATAACCCCAGATGCAATTCGAATGCCAAGGCTCTTTTGAAACATATAAATAGCCGCCTAATGCATTTTACAGACCCATGTGAAATGGGAATAAAGTCTAATGTAATTGTTCAACAATGTGGTGCAGATGATGAAATCTAAGTACTTAATTTGGAAAAAAGTATAGTATTAAGATGACTGCATTGATTACTGTGAAGAGTACAACATGTTTGAATGGGCTTGACAGGGAAAAAGTACTGTGCTCTGTAATTTAGAAATCTAAAGCCAGTTATTTCTTCTAGAAACATGCACTTTATTCAATAAGCTTTCTCTATTAATTGTTTCTAGGCAATGTTTGGAACACCAATGCCAACAACAAAAAAGACACACTTGAACCCCCCCAAATAAAATTGGATTTGTTCTACAAATCTAATTGCATATATTATTTCTTAATATATTTAACTCATAATTTGATTAAGAGATGAATCACTAAATAAGAAGACATTTTACAATGAAGAGCTAAATTTCTATCTTATTTTGTTTCCAAAGAAACATCAAGATGCGTGTCTGTGTTCTTTTTACTAATCTTTCACTATGAAGGCCCCATGGGAGGAGGTGTTATTGTATAAATAGGCTCACTATTTAGAACCTAGAGAGACACCCTGGAAAGACGCACAGGTAGAATGGAAAGAGAAACTTCTTACTCTTCTGGGGCTGTTGGTTCTGAAGTAAGTAGAAAGGAAACTACCCAGTTCCAAGTCCAATGAGTTTCCTAGCAAGGGCTTAGGAAAAACTTTGATGTTGAGTGCTTTGGAAAGTGTTTTTTGTCAGATGATGCCTTCTCTCTCCTTACTCAATGGGCAGTTCGCTGTCACCCACAGAGGGCCACCTCCAGGCAGAACCGAAGTGGCAAAGTTTGTCTTTAATAATCCTCCTTTCCTCTTTGGACCCCTCTCTCAGCTACTGACCCTCTCTTGCTGCTCCAGCCAAAAAATGGAATCAATTTAGTCACATTTCATTTCTTTCTTTCTTTTTTTTTTTTTGGCAGTACGCGGCCTCTCACTGTTGTGGCCTCTCCCGTTGCGGAGCACAGGCTCCGGACGCGCAGGCCCAGCGGCCATGGCTCATGGGCCCAGCCGCTCCATGGCATGTGGGATCGTTTCTTATGCCAGAGGTATATTTCAAAACAAATGTCACATTAAAAGTGAAACTTCAAGTATCAGAGTGAAATTTTTGGATAGGTAATGTTTTTGGGTAGCTAATGTTAGATTTTGGGTAGTTAAACCTTAGACAAGCATAGTCAATGCTATTTAAAAACTCATAAAAGTTAATACACTAGAGGAATCACAACTAAAATATATGTTTTCCTTCATTAATTCCCCTCAGATTTTTTTAGCCAGTGAGTCCACATTGCCGTGATCTTTCATTCGTTTTATGTGACATGTGTTTCCGAGTTTTTGAATACTTTCAGTATAGTGAGGCTTAGATCAGATCACCTTAGAATCCCATTATCTTTTTGCTTGATATTCATTTGGAAGGAGTGATGATGTCCAAAGGCCTTTTGTTTATATCTTCACCAAAAGGGAAAGCTGCATGTTTTCAGTTATCAATGACAAACCAAGACATGACACCCACTCGGATGAATGCCTTCCCAACTTCCAAAACTAAGCACAATGACAAAAGTGAATCAATAATAGAAGCCTCATTTTTGCTTCTTCTTTAGCTTGTTAAAAATAAAAGGGTAGAAGTAACTGAATACAAATTATAGTATCAGAATATATCATTGCCTCGTATGGAGGAAGGACCCTGCAGGTGTGCAGCTCCCCCTAATAGTCATGGCACGTACACTGTGCTTCAAAGGTCACCACAGTAAATCCTCTCTCAGATAGAATTACAGTCCCCCAGCTGTTAAAAAACCGCTGCACAAAGTACCAAACCCCAGAAAGGGACAACTCCCTATAGGTACAGAGATTGTCTTTCCCAACGCCTGTAGGGAATAATCGATTAATTTTAGAATAGTAAGGAACAGGATAACAAAACCAGTTTTCTATTGAGCGAGCCAGTTACTTAACATCTTTGTGCTTCTTCTTGGGCTGTACACATGGTCTCATAATTTACCTACCAGTGGGGTTTTGTTAGGGTTAAATAATGTTTATAAAATGCCTGGCAAATAAAAATCACTTAATGAATAGCAGCCATCACTATTCTGCCAATATTTGAATCTGGACAATGACCTCACCCTTTGGGTAGGGGCTAGAGTTGGTTTGCAGGCTATTAGAAAGGCAGAGGGTGGATTTCAGAAGAAAATCTGAGCATTATCATTAAATTAGGCTACATGCAAAGCAATCATGGAGAACAACAGTAACAGTGTCTTGCTACCAAAAAATCTTAAAAGAGACTTTCATTGAAATCTGTCAAAAATACCACCAAAGGAAATATGAGACACTACTCTCTTCTACACTTTAGGCTAGGTTGTGTCTAGCTTCATTTAAGCAACTGCCTTCTTGTAAATTGGGAACAAAGCACATGCATACACTGCAAAATACATAAAAACAAAGTGTTTTGAAACACACATCACACCTCTGCCAACTGACTTCATACTGGAAACTAAAGGTACAGGTAACACAGATGTGCTTATGGTGCTTCTGCTATTTAACCAGCGACCTTTATGTTTAGCACTCTGGATTTCCTAAGAAAGATTTCCTTTTTCATTAGATAATGATGGGAGAGCATTTTCTACATATTGATAGGCTGATGGCTCAATACAAACACAAAGAGTGTCTCCGGTTGTGGAAAAGGTTTTCTGAGCTGTGTTTCTCTCCACTTAATCTCTAAGGTGGCACAACAATAGTTATGTCCACCTGGACCTTTCCCAGACATCACTTTGATAACTCAAAAGCCTCTCAAAAGCAGTATCTCCAAAAATGATCTCATTATATAACCACCACCGCACTGCCCCCACCCCCA